ATCGTTTCCTCTGATTTTAAATATATTTGTGATCATTTGTCCCCCTGTTTCAGAGCGCTGCTGAAGCTCTGGAGGATTTGAGGATCAGCATCGATGAGCTTCAGAGGGAAGGAGACGCTCTGATCGACTTCTTCTGCGAAGACAAAGACATCTTCAACCTGGACGAGTGCTTACGGATATTCCAGAATTTCTGCTCCAAATTTAAAAAAGCAGTTCAGGTGAAACACATCTAAAATAAAATTTCTTAAGTTAACATGGATGGCATTTTCATGTTAAAAGACCCAGTTCAGACGCATTTGAATTATTTCATTTAAACTAATTTAAAATATTAGTTTACTACATATTTATTTATTTTAATCTATTATTTTTTTATTTTCATATAATTTTACAATTTATATTTAATTTTTAATTTATTTTTAATCTATTTATGCATTGTAGTAAAACAATTGTATTATTTATTTAAATATAATGTATAGTATGTATTTATTTGTTATTTAATCTATTATTTATTTATATAAATTTAATTTAGAAAAATATATTCTATTTATTTATTTTCATCATTATTATTATTTATTTGTTTGAATCTAATTATACATTTATTATTTTCATATAATTTTATAATTTACATATTTTTTATTGCTTCTATTTATGCATTTAACCATAATTGTATTATTTATTTAAATATAATTATTTTCATTAATTTATTTAATCATGTATTTGTTTTTACATTTCTTTATGTAAATATAATTTCAAAATAATAATGACAATATTTTATTTTATTTATTTTTACGTTGTTTTTCTCTACTCTAGCGACTCGTTGTGTTGATCAGCAGGACTTCTCTTTCCTCAGGAGAACGTGGAGCGAGGGATGTGGGAGGAGTCTCGGCGCAAACGCCTGAAGGAGTCGGAGGACAAGCGGCACTCGTGGGCGGGGCATGAGGGTGTGGGCGGAGTCTTCGGGCTGCGGTCCAATAGCGAAGCAGACGTGGAGGCGGCGTTAAAGAGGGAGGGGCTTTTGGAGCTGCTGATGACGAGTCCTCAAAGTTTACCACTGCGTTTCGGTAGCGCTCGACGATCACGCCGACAGAAGAACGCGACCTTTGACCTCTGTGGAGCAGATTTCCTTCCTCCCATACAGTCGCTCTCCATCGCACACGGCAGCATCACAACGGAGGAGCCAGAGATACAAAACAAGAGCCGTTCCACCGAGGAATCGCCGAACAACGACCAAACGCAACTCAGAAATACAGAAGTGACTCCAGTCGTGACCTCTGACCCCTCACAAATCAATTCAGAGGTGGCGAATGACGATCATAAAGCTAGAGATAACGTCAAGCGTACAAACGTGACACTAAAAACCAGCGGCGGAGCGACACAATCGATCCAAACGAGCAGCAAACGACCCGTCGGCTCTAAAAACAGACCTTCGTCTTCCGCTAAACCAACATCATCTTCATCATGTATGAGGAAGGTTGTTCCTCTCAGGACGCCGGCTCCCAAGCAAGCGGTTCGGCCGCCGCCGGAAAAGATGTGTCGCGCTACACTCGACCGACCTCGAACCTCAGCGCGCGATTCCACCTCAATCAAACCACTCGGCTTCGCTCGCAACACTGTGGCGTCCGCGACACGCCACGCCGTCGCCCCGGTAACCCAGCGCACAGCCGACCCGAAGCCGCCGCCGCCCAGGCTGTCGCTGACCCCTGCTGGCCGTCTAAGGAAGAGCAGCTCCGCCCATTCGGAGAACTCGCTGCTCGCTCGCGGGGCGCGGGATAAACCCGTCAGACCCGTCTGGAGGTAGAGCGAGGGGGAGCAATCGGGATAATGCTAGCTTGCTATTATCATCCAATGTTCAATGTTCGGGAACATTATACTTTCAGCTCACAAACTAGCGCTCAAACGTTTTGTTTTTTTATGTATCTACCCAAGGAAGTATTTGATCAAAAATACAGTGAAAAGAGTGAAATATTATTCCAGTGTATAGCAGCGGTTTACTACGGAAGAGGATCGCGAGTTCATTCTCAAAAGTTTATTTCGACTTTTTTCTCTCGAAATACAACGACTTTATTCTCGAAATTTAATTAGTTTATTCTCAACATTTTATTTAAACTTTTTTTCTCAACAATTAACAAGATTTTTCTCAAAACAACGACTTCATTCACAAAATTTAATGAGCTTATTCTCAACATTTTTTTTTTTTACTTGAAAGAGCGAATTCATTCGCAAAATTTAATTCGTTTTTTCTCAATGTTTTATATCGACTTTTTTCTTGAAATTTGACTTTTTTTCTCGAAGCAACTACTTTATAGTCGAAATTTATGTTTTTTCTTAGCATTTAATTTAAAAGTTTTTTCTCAAAATTTAACAAGATTTTTCTCACACAACGACTTTATTGTCGAAATTTAATGACTTTAATGACTCAGCATTGTATTTTCACTTTTTTTTTCTCTCATTATAATGACTTTAATCTCAAGATGTTTTTATTATTATTTTTATTGCTTGGCCCTAATCCACTTCCGTAGTTTTCTATGTGAATATAGAGTAAAGTGTAATTTATTTCTGTGATCAAAGCCGAATTTATCATCATTACTCCAGTCTTCAGTGTCACATGATCCTTCACAAATCACTCTAATATGAGGATGTGATGATCAACAAACATTTATGATTATTATCAGTGTAACTGTGATGCTTTTTATTTTCCAGGATTCAATTATGAAAGGAATAGAAAGTTCAAAACAAAAGCACTTACTTAAAATAGAATCTTTTGTAACATTACAAATGTATTTAGTGTCATTTTTGATAAATTAAATGTGTCCTTGATGAATAAAAGTATTAAGTTCTTTCATAAAAATAAAATCCTACCCCAAATGGTAGTGTAATCAGCGATCATATTTAGTGAAAATTCTTGCATATTTGTCGTATTAAGTGTATCATTTTTTATTATAACATAATTTTCTCTTTAAATGTAGTGCATAACTGATTGATACATTGCACTGAAAAAAGAAATATACATCTATGATGTATTTGTGGAAACGTTCTGATGCAGCATGCACATATTCTCCTTCAATAGTGCAAAATTACCGCATTATTTACATAATTTACAGTTACAATCCACACATTACAGCATTAATTACACTGATATACAGTATCAATATTAGAATATAGTCATATAACTTCAATTAAGAAACATAACTGGATTATTTTTATTAATTGTTGCAGGAACATCAACATTTCTTTTATTTGTTCAGACGTGATTTTATTCAGAACAACTTTTGTGCATCACAGCTGTTTTGTCCTCGGATAAAAGGCAAAAACTTCCGATGCAAGATATTTAGAGCTGAATTAAAAGTTATGCATAAAATTGTGAGTTATTTTCAATTCAAGTTGAAAGTATGTGAGGAATGTGCTTAAATTACTATTTATTTATTTATTATTTTTGTTCAAATCTAGGAATTTAAATAGGTAAATCAAATAAAAATAACAAAAAATCTCCCCAAAATTTGCATAAAATCTTTCATCTTCAAAAATAAAGTATAATTTTAGGGCTTCGGGTTATTTTGATGTGTTACAAGTGCGCGGGAAGGATGAGGGTTAAGGGCTTTAATATCGTTAAATATGAAACTTTCACCGTTAGCATGTGTTAGCATGCACATTGCTGTGTTGTGTTGGTTTGCTGAAGTGTGTGTGTCGTCAGATGGCGGACGCGTGAGCTTTGCAGACGTAGCGGTAGCGCCGAGAGCAGTGGTCGTCGTTATACCGCCCGTCGTGGTGGAAGTGAGCGCAGTCTTCACCGCCACCCAAACCGTGATTCTTCCAGTCATCAGGCTGGCCCGGCATCCATTCACTGCACACACACACACACACACACACAGGTTTTTTGTTGCTATATTTGTGAGGTCATTCCACAGGTGTAATGATTTTAATATTGTCCAAACTATATATTCTATCCCCCTACACTAACCCTACCCAACACACACACTCACCTCCTGACATGCACATACGGCGTCTCGTCCAGCCATTCCCACTCGCCGGTGCGGCCGTCGCTCAGACCCAGCCAGTAGAACAGCGGTCTGGTCTTGCTCACCACGAAGTTCTGCACACACACCTCTGTCTATCACTCTTTATGACTAAATGATGGGCGGTTTGCTGGTTTAGATGAGCGTCTCGTGTTGTCGGTTTAGGCCCTGTTTACACCTGTATTCAGACGAGTTTGGGTTGACCGGATCACAAGTAGACAATCCTGTTTACACCTGGTGTTTTAGTTAGTCTCTTTTGTCCACTTTGCGGTCTCTCTCTTGAATCCACACTGAGTGAGTTAACCTGCAGTTCCTCCACTGGCCACGAGAGGCGCTGCAGAAGAGACTCACTCCCATAGACCCCCATTTTAAAAAGTGGTTTTGGTCTATATTGCTAATGTTGCCCTTCATTACGACTGTGATGGGGGTGAATATTTTTATAACTCATCCGTTTAAATTATAATTAGCCTTAAATTTGTGCGTAATTAAGGGCGTGGCCTCTTGAGTGACAGGTGGATTGCCGCTGATGTCACTGCTAGCCATTTAACTGGTGTCTGTTAGCGTCGCGTCACCTCAGCTAATCCGCCTCGCTGCACATTTACGTTTATCCGGGAGTGACGCGCTGCCAAGATGGCGACGCCGGCTCCGCCCACTTTGGGCTTCAAACTATTCTTTAGAAACACTACGAGTGACGTCACGCACACTACACTTTTTTTTTACAGTCAATGCTTCAAACCAAACTTGGGTCTTCAGCCAACAAAGTTTAAATCCCGTCAGGTCAGTCAGTGGTCTTTTAGTGGCTGATTGAAAACATTTGACCACATGAACATTTACACATTTACAATATGAAAGCAATCTGATCGTATGCTTCTCCAATATCTCTGGAAGTGGTCGAAAGTGGACAAGCTCAAATCATTTTAAACCCCATTTTTTAATTAGCGTCCTTCACTTGTGACTCGATCAACCAAAACACATTTTAATAACAGCTGTAAACGAGGCCAATGTTGTGTGTCTGGTTTAGTTAAGTTGGTTTAGTTAAGTTAGTTGAGTTGTGTGTCTGATGTTGGTTGTGTAGTTGTACAGAACTGATCCGCTCTGACCTTCTCCTGTTTGCTTTTTATGATGAGTAACTTTGCTCTTTTCTTCTCACACTCGTCTCTGGCCGCGTCCCACGGCATCCCGTCTTCAGAGAAGAAATAACAGTCTGTGGAGAAGAGAGCCCATCCGCCAGGACAGCACAGCTCCTGCGTGTCTACACACACACACACACACACACACACACACACACACAGATCAGATACTGTAAGAGATCAATCTACAGCAGCACAAACACTACAGCATCACTTACTGTTGCTTATGAACTTGTCAATGTGGCATTTTAGATCCGAAACCTGGTCACGAAGAGCCTGTGCTGAATCAGACACTACACACACACACACACACACACACACACTCTTAAGATCTGCAGTGGATTTCATTGAATTTCAAGTGTTTTGTCTGTCTGTATGTGTACGTGTGTGTGTGGCACTTACTATCATTAATCGTTGTTTGCATCGTTTTCTGGTCGAAGTCCAGCTGGCTGATGTCTAAATGCATTTTATGTCCTGAACACACACACACACACACACACACATTAGACTATAAGAGTGTGTGTGTGTGTGTGGGGGGGAGGTGTTATAATAATTCATAATTTTTCAAATACTCAGGTGTGTTTCCATGTCTATTTTTTTACCATATTAAAGGGTTAGTTCACCCAAAGGTTACTGGCTCAGTATTGGCCGGCTCCTGCATTAGCATCACAGGTATATGTCTTGACTCGTGGTGCTCATGTGATCAGCGTCGGCCAATAGTGAGCCGGCATTCTGACGTACAACGGCGTCGGAGAACGACGTGGAAGCAGAGATTGTTGAATAAAGTAGTTATTTTGGGTGTTTTCGCGCTCAAAAAGTATTCTGGTCGCTTTGTAACATTAATGTTGAACCATTGGAGTCACATGGACTATTTTATCAATGTCTTTCCTACCTTTCTGGGCCTTGAAAGTTGCAATGATGTTGCTGCATGTGGCGTCTAGATCTTATATCTTGCAAAAATATCATATAATTTGTGTTGTGAAGATGATCGAAAGTCTTACGGGTTTGGAACGACATGAGGGTGAATAATTACAGACAGAATTTAAAAGTTCTGGGTGAATTAAACCTTAAAAAACGTTTTAAACGTTTAGAAAAATTCAAAACTCACGTTTCCATAACTTAATTAGATTTTTTTTTGTTAGCTGAGAGTGTGGGTGGATTATGTTTATTTTTTAATTTTGCTAAAAGATTACGAAGATTAGGCTAACATACCGTATTCCTCCAGAATGTTTGCTCTGGAAATGATGCTCAGGAGCGTTTCTGTCAGATTCTTCACGTTTGTCTCGGTCGTCGAGAACTTCCGATCAAACTTCATGTCTAACAAAACACGTGTGAAAACCATTAAAAGTCATTATGTTTTATTGATAAATCCAGTCTGCTAGTTCTCTGGAAAATAAACATGGTGTTTAAACTTATAGGATATGCTTCACATTCTTTTTACGTTTTTGCCTTAATACATTAAGCCGATTATTAAGGAATTAATGAGAAAAATAACGTGTTGTCTGTATGATATCACATTATGTTTGAGTGTGTGTTACTCACGGCTCACAGATACTGTGACGATCAGCACCAGAAGCATCAGAGCCGTTACACTGATGATGGCAGCGAACACACGCCACCGCCAGCGACCGGTAGAGGGCGCTGCAACAAACCTGGGCACAGACGAGTCTAACAAACACACACGCGGTTTGAAATGTTTGAAATCGCTGGTGTTTCTGACGTCACAAACGACCTTGTAACCAATCAGATCAACGTGTGATCGTCAAGCTGTGGATCTCTGGGTGAGTGAGTTGAGGCGGGGCTCATTTGCATATAGAACCGCGCATACTAAATAGATAAGATAAATTGATTGTCAACCTATTTTCACTCACATGTTATGACTACTAAATCATTAGTCATTTAATCATTTACTCTTTTCCTAAATTACTCCCTCTCATATTATGATATGCTTCTCTTTATGCACGATTATTTCCAACTCTTCTTAATGTGTAGCTATCCTAATTGACCTGTGCCTGTGTTTTTTATTTATTTATTTATTATGTAATGGAGATCTAACTTTTCAGTGTATGAATTTGTCGTATTATACTGGCATGAGTGGTTGTATCTCAATAAACAGAGTAGCCTATCAACAACAACAACAAAAAATCGAATTATTGGTATCGGAAAAAGTGGTCTCGCTGCATCCCTAATGAAGTCATTATCATAGTAAAACTAACAAAGTTTTTTGTATTTAAAAACAAAAAATATTGTACACTTTTGCAGCTATGAAACTTTGTGTTATATAACCTTTGCATTACATTTCATATAAGCAGATAACGCTGTTTGTAATGCAACGACTGGGGAGGGTGTGACAAACATTTGGCATCTTTCTATATACAGGGTAAGATTAGTGTGTTTAAAAATAGTTTCTTGTACCTATTATTTCAATAATTATAATTGGAATTATTATTGGAACTGTGTGTGTGTGTGTGTGTGTGTGTAATGTGTGCTGTGATGGTGTCAAACATTGAGGTTAAAGGTCAGAAGAGGTTGAACAGCTGTATAAACTACTGCCAGTGTGTGTGTGTGGCAGAGGAGTGCTTGAGAAACACACACACATACGTTTGTTTGTTTGTTTGTGGGGTCTTTCCATTGACTCACACTGTACAAGAAGGTCCCATTAGTTGATGCATTAACTAACAATGAGAAATACATTTGTTTATTAATCTTTGTTAACATTCATTGTTAAATTACAACTGTTCTTTAGTTCACGTGAGCTCAGATACATTAAATAATATTGACAGATACAAATTATGATTTTAACATTAACTTAGATTACCAAGTGTTTTTCATTGTTATAACTAGTTAACTAATGCAACCTTATTGTAAAGTGTTTTATGATATTTTCTTTCACAGAAACCTTTATATATATGAATTAAAACATTTTGATGTGTTCTCATACCTTTCCTCCAGAACTCGGTGTCGTCACTGGAGTCTGGGTTCTCCGGCTCGTCTGTATACTGGTTTGCCGCAGAGACAGAGTCTGATGTAACGACCCTCATGATCAGTGAGTCTTGACCTGCAAAAACACACAACATTAGTTCTTCGTCTAAATGATTCCGGTTCACACACGCAGAAGTGACAAAAAATTCTCTATTATGAATTTTTAAGGCCAGAGAAGTTGTTTGTTGAGGTCAACTTGTAAAGAAAGACTTTTTGGGTCAAAACACTGTAAAAAAATATTGATGGTTTAACTTAAACAAGTAAGTAACCTGGTTGCCTTAAAATTTTAAGTTCATTGAACTGGAAAAAGTGAGTTAATACAATGAAGGAGATTAATTTAACCATCAGAAACTCAAAATTATATGTTATCTGAACTAAATAAATTATTATAAAGTTGATTTGACAAAAGAAAATATGTTGTGATAACAAATCTTGAAAATATTTTTTACAGTGAAAAGAGTTTTTTTGTTCTCCTTTGACATGCACATTATTACAGCCAAATATAAATATTTATATTTGGCTGTAATAATGTGCATGTGTGCATATTTAATGACAACTATCAGTACATTCAAAATATGAGACACATTCCATCTAAGCCACTTTCCCGTAAGCTTGTGTTCTTTGAACTCAGTCAAGAGGTCAATCTGTTCAGAATCAGATCCTCTCGAGGTCAAATCTTTTGCTTTGGTCAGAATTCAGCAAACTTGAACTTTGATTTGCAGCAAAAGATGACGCATGTTTCCGGTCTCATGTGTTCATGTGTGTTTGTTCATGGACATCAGTTTAGGCCCTATGTATAGTTCGCTTTCCACACATATAACGCTTTTCAGTTTTTCATTATACCACTGGGCTTCATAAGTAGATCAGAAGAAAAATAGAGTTTAAAAAAAACAAAACAATTTACACAAAAATACAATCAATTATCCCCAATAAAGGTTTTGATACGCACATAAACTCTGTTAAAATACTTTTTAAACACAGCGGAAGAATAAATAAAAGGAAATTCGCATTTAATCACTCCTATACTAACATATTAAGAATGATTTAGACTTTCAGTGAAAATTTCATTTATAATCCAGTAAATGAAACATGAACTTTATTAACATCCAAAGAATCGCAAAAGTTACACTTGAACCACAAACAGCCAGAAATAAGATGAGGAAGAAATGGGTATAAAATAGAGGAAGTTATGAAATACTTTAACTAAACATCATAAAAACACAATTTTCATGATATGCCCCTGATTGGTTTCACCGATGTGATGTGAAATCAGTGTTTCTCACTCTAAGTTAGTCTAGACCGTGAATAGTTTCACTAAATTAATCTGTTAGAGTGAGTCATTCAGGTTACTCTAACATTATTAATAATTCATGAGATGCTCAAGGATTTCCCTTGACAATAGATGTTAATTTCCTCTTACCTCTTGCATTAGAAATGAGATCCTGATGTGTGTGTGTGAGAGTGTGTGTGAGTGTACTTTGAGCTTGATGAAGTGAATGAATATTTACTTTGTGCATGTGGAGTACAAACAGGAGCTCCAATCACAGTATTTGTCCAGCTGACCTCAACTCAAGATTTAAATATATATAGAGATGGTTGTAAAAATCTCTTTTACAAGGTTTCACGGGTCTATTGGTGAGCACATATTGGCTTATGATAGTGCCACCAAAAGCTCATTGAATAGTAACGTCAACTAACATAACTTTTCTCTAATTTCATAGTTTTCATGAATTTGATATTTTCTTTTAAATTGTTGAAAATAGTCATAATAAAGAATAAGTGAATGTGTCCAAACTATTTATCAAATGTGTAGTAGGCCATCTTTAAATCGTTGAGCTGATAACTAAATAAACAACTGATAAAGAGAGGTTATCACGTAAATGTAAACACTATATTTATATACACTATATATATATAGGATTTACATATATTTTTAGAAACACCCATTAAGATATTCCTAAAACGTGGCACTCCTCCCTCAATATCTCTTTTTGTAGCCGAAGGGGTTGGTTTTTTTTAGGAGAATCACGCTCCATTTGTCTGACTCTGATTGGTCGAACGCCATTTTCTTCTTTCTTCCTATTGGCTGCTTGTCTGTCCGTCAATGTCTACTCCGCGATCATTGGCTGTCCGTGCGGAAACCAGGCGGATTCTTCATGTTGACGCTGAAATTCCTGCCTCCCGTCCGCGAATTTCGGGAGAGTTCTGCACCGAATCGGCGTGAAAACCGAACTGAACCCGAGCGAAACAAGCTAGCGCGATGACTGCGGTTCGCGTGACCCTGATCCTGTTTCTGGGCTCCATTCAGCTCTGCCGACCCGAGCCGCGGTCCGGGAAACCCAGTAAGAACCGTTAAATGATTCTCTGTCAGTCTTACATTTAAATGTCCAGTCAGATTTGCATCTGAATGTAACCGCCGATCCGAATCTCAATCTCAGCGTAAACAGACCAAAACCACATCATATATTACAAAAGGTCATTATGTGAACTATTGTTTGCGTCAAAAACAGCTACTTTTGTTGTGAAAATGTGGCAAATTTATATTAAATCTACTGTCATCACAAAGAAGTGACTCAAAATGACAAAAACAAAGCCTCTCACACTGTTTAATTACGTGCTACTATCAGTAACTGTGGTGTTTTGGTTGAAACTGTGTTGTTTACCATGGTAAATTTGTTGATGGTGACTCAAACATTCATAAAACTGAAGCAAAATGTATGAATATAAGTTACACATGAAAAGGTCCTTCAGAAGCTTCTAGATCCTGAAGCTGCTACAGAAGACACTGGTTTGAGTTCCTCATGGCTTTCACATCATTAATGAACAACTGTTGAACTAATGAACTCTTTTCTACAGATGTTTGAGTTGGTTATCTCTGTCTGAATCACTCGGGCTTGAAGGAATCGACATCAGGCAATAGAATCTCCAGGACTCAGAATGACTCAGTGATGCATTACAGTATAATAACTGTGTGTGTGTGTGTGTGTGTGTGTTCAGGTGAGGTGTTGGTCATCACCGCAGCCACAGAAGTGACCGACGGGTACCTGAGGTTCATGCGGACCGTCCGACAGTTCAACTACACCGTCCAGGTGCTGATTCAACACACACTTCTCAAAGTAGACGAGCGCTCGAAAGTCTGAAATAATTATTATTTAAAAAATGTTTTAAAATAGTTTCTTGCATTAATTTAATAAAAATGCAGTAAATAGTGAAATATTATTATTATGTAAATCATCTGTTTTCTGATTTATGTTAATGATTTATGTTTCGGAAGTCTCTTCTGCTCATCAAGGCTGCAATTATAATCAAAAATACCAGAAAAACTGTGAAATATTTTTACAATGTAAATCATCGGTTTTCTATGTGAATGTGCAGTAAAGTGTAATTTATTCCTGTGATCAAAGCTGAATTTATCATCATTACTCCAGTCTTCAGTGTCATCTTCAGAAATCACTCTAATATGAGGATCTGATGATCAACAAACATTTATTTTTGACAGAAAATACTTTATTTCATAAACGACACATTAAACTGATCAAAAGTGACAGTAAAGAAGACATTTATAATGTTACAAAAGATTCTGTTTCAAATAAATGCTGATCTTTTGAACTATTCATCAAAGATCCTGAAAAATAAGATGCATCACAGTTACACTGATAATAATCATAAATGTTTCTTGATCATCAGATCCTCATATTAGAGTGATTTCTGAAGGATCATGTGACACTGAAGACTGGAGTAATGATGATAAATTCAGCTTTGATCACAGGAATAAATTACACTTTACTGCACATTCACATAGAAAACCGATGATTTACATTGTAAAAATATTTCACAGTTTTTATGGTATTTTTGATCGAATAAATGCAGCCTTGATGAGACTTCAGAAACATAAAAAATCATTATTATTCCAAACATTAGTAGATGTACAAACACTAGGGCTGCAACTAACGCTAATTTTGTTCGATTAATCGGATAAAAATTTTATTTAGCTTTTAAGTTTATAAATAAATAAATATGTATTTATGAGTAAAAGTGTACTTTAAAAAGTCCAAAAGCCACACATTGAGTTTTAATAATATCAATATTTGCATTGCTATTAATGATAATTGCATGATAATCATGATTGGCTTATTTCGACCAATCACCAGTAAACGCTCCCCGTGACGCAAACTGATCGACTAATCCATAATGACATCCGTTGAGAATGATTTTCATAATCGCTGATTGTCGTGTGTGTGTGTGTGTGTGCAGGTCCTGGGTCTGGGCGAGCAGTGGCGGGGGGGCGATGTTGCTCGGACCGTCGGTGGAGGCCAGAAGGTTCGATGGCTGAAGAATGAACTGGAGAAACACAAAGACAAACGCAACACTGTCATCATGTTCGTGGACAGGTGTGTTCACGTCACACACAATAAACACAATGCCATGGCCTCATTTCTCTCCTTGCTGATGTGTAACTCGATTACCAACACATTGACACGCTTCACCCCTGAGTGTGAGGTTTCGTTTGTGCCCGAGTGTTTCTTTATGATGTAGCTTCGCCCTTGATGACGATCCTGGAGATAAAGTAGACGTGTTTATTCATTGGTTATGTATGTGTTTGTAGTTGAGCTCCCTAGAGTTATCGTCCTCTTGACCTGATTGTTGTGTGTGTGTGTGTGTGTGTGTGTGTAGTTATGATGTGATTTTAGCCAGTGGTCCAGCGGAGCTGCTCAAGAAGTTTTCCCGCTTCTCTCACCGCGTCGTGTTCTCGGCCGAGGGATTCTGCTGGCCGGACCAGAGACTCGCCGCCAAATACCCAGCAGTGCATCATGGGAAACGCTATCTCAACTCTGGAGGTGTGTGGCAGTGCAATGAAAGGCACGGCCGTGACTGCTGACGCCCATGTGATTGTGTGTGTGTGTGTGTGTGTGTAGGTTTCATCGGCTTCGCTCCTGAGATTTATGCAATAGTGCAACAGTGGAAATACAAAGACGACGACGATGACCAGCTGTTCTACACACGGATCTACCTGGACAAAGAGCAGAGGGTGAGCGAAAGAGTGTGTGTGAGTGAAAGTGAGAGTGTGTGTGTGTGTGTGTGTGTGTGTGTGTGTGTGAGAGAGAGAGTAACACATGTATCTCCTCATGCTAAATAGTTTTTCTTTTCCAGCGGAAGTTCAACATCACACTGGACCACAAATCACACATTTTTCAGAATCTCAATGGAGCCATAGGTACACACACACACACACACACACACACACACACACACACACACTCACACTCCCTCTGTGACTCTCATACACGCACTCACTGTCACACATACACGCGCACACACAATCTCTAACATGCATGCATGTGTGTGTAGTTTGCTTTAGTCCTGTTGTAATTCTGCCTGTTTTCTGTGCTTGTGATGTGTGTGTGTGTGTTTATCCAGAGGAAGTGGTGCTAAAGTTTGAGAAATCCAGAGTCAGAGCTCGAAACGTGGTCTATGACACACTTCCTGTCGTTATCCATGGCAACGGGCCAACGAAGGTAAACAAACACTCTGCACAGACATCCATCTGTTACTGCAGACGTGTGTGTATGACGTGTGTGTGTGTTATATATATACAGTATATATACTGTTCAAAAGCTTGGGGTCAGATGAATAAGAAATGTATAGAAATAATAGTTTTATTCAGCCAGGACGCATTAAATCATTAAATCCATCAACAGCGACTGTAAAGACATTAAGATTCTGTTTCTAATAAACGCTGTTGTATTCATCAAACAATCCTGAAAATAAATATAAACTGTCTTCAACATGGATAATAATCAGAAGGACAAACACAATATAAGGTACGAATGAAATAAACAATGCATTAATATTTCCAGTTCCAGGTGTTTATAAGAGTAACATGAACACTACGTAGACTGTGAATGATGGATTACATATGCACTTATCCTTCTGACAGCGAGCAGTGAGCGATGATGACAGTTGTTGTTGTCCTTGGATGCCCATTTCTTACGCATCATTGCACAATGTATTCTGCCCTTAATTGGCCTTCTTTAAATACAAGAAGACAAGTCCATTGGCTTCAACTAATATTTAAAATTATCCACTTCAATTACCCTTCTTATTTAAAACGGTATTTTGTTCTTAATACTTCAAATTATCATTTGAGGCACTCCGTTCAGCTTTATTTTTTTGTCCCTCGAGCCAAGAAGACAGTTGGTAAAAGAGCTTTTATGTTTAAAGCCACCTTAGACTGGAATAATTTACCTTCCAATATTAGATCCATCACTTAATTTGGGATTTTTAAGCATAATTTGTCTTCTTATTTTATGACTAACTGCTCTTGTTTTGTATGATGCTGACACAGAATGCTTACATACTACTGTATATACAATGTATTTCTGCCAATTTGATCTTTTTGCATATCTCGTTTTTTTTTTTTTTTTTGTGGTTCTGTATGTACTTGTTTGTCAAATAAGTGTAATTGTTGTTGTTTTTGTTT